GTCCTCCACTTTCAGAAGCTGAAGTTTGAAATACTTTGGAGGATTTGGGACTTAACTTAAATCAAATTACCTTTACTTATTTATATTTACTTGAGCATCCAGATAAATTAAGAGTAATACTAGAATGCCCACCTAGGAGACATCTAGATATTGCTATGAGGGTTGTTTTTGGTAATTCTTAATCATCAAGTGGTTTGCCACAATCCTTATCTTTATTTTTTAAATCTGACTAATCTAGTTTGCATTAATTGGGATTTATGTTTGAATAATTTTTTTTGGTTTGGTTTTTATTAGTTATTTTATTTTATTGTTTATTAGCATCATTGATATTATATTGTAATAAAATTATTTGCTTTTTATGTTTAGAAGCATTGTTTACTAATTGCTTCATTTACTATTTCTTTGTTAAACTCTTAATTTTATGTTTTTTTGATCAATAATTTTTATCCCTTTAATTTGCATTTATTAGTTTTTAACCCAAAGTTATATTATGACCCAAAAAAGACATATGGTAAGATGCTCGGCTTCTCTCATGCTTGTTTGCGATGGATAATGAAGTAATTGAATGAATTGAACAAATAACAACAAGCAAGAGAGAATTGGCGATCACATTATAATCTTAAAAAATAAATTTGTAAATTTGAAATTAATTCAAATCCATCCCTTCCTTCTCTTCCTTTCATCTTAATTATCCAAATATAAAACAATATAATCCTTCCCTTCCCCACCCCTCCCTTCCCTTCCCTGCCCTTATTTTTATTTATCCAAATAAAATTAACTCGAGAAAAACCCGCACCTCAATTCTCAAATAAAAACGTCTTACATCAAGGTCTAGTGTCACTAGCATTTGAGAACTTAAATTTACATTGCTTGTTAGCCTCGCACCAAGAAAAAGGAAAACAAAAAAAAAAAAAAAAAAGAGTTGTTAGTAAGGTTCTAAATAATTTATAAATTATTCGATTTAAATTTTATTTAATTTATTTGCTAAATGAAATAAACTCGAATTCAATTTCAAATTCAATAAATAATTTAGTTCAAGTTTAAGTATGTATATTAGATTCATGATGTACTTAGAGGTAACTTGTTTTTATTAAAAGTTTAAAACATATTATATTATTTAATTTATTTTAATTATTTTAATTTATAATAAATTGCCAACTCACTAAATACTCAATCTATACTTGTAATTGTGTAGTTAAACTTAAGTTTAAATATTTTAACATTAAACTCAGATGCTTTTATAATTTTAAATTTAATAATCGTTGTCTCTGTGCATATTTAGCAATCACAACCGAACTCTGCTTTCAGTAAGGGAGAATGAGGCATTACAGGTGCCACCTCTAGGTTCTTACATGTCACACCTGCATTAGATCTACGTGTACTGCCACTTGTGTACAAGTGTCATATTTCATTCGGGAAATGCTATTGAAATAATCATTTTACCTCATCTTTTGATATAACTTAACGTGTTAATAAAATAATTGATTTTTTTGATTCATATAAAATTTGTGATATTAAATACATTTATTTATTTAATGACATATAAAAATTGTATAAAAATATGAAACAAAAAGGTTATCTGTATAGTATTATGTCACATTCACCATATGTAACTTTAAATTACTTGGCAAGTTCTAGTCACATCTCCAGCTAAACTTGGCAAACGAACGGGTTGAGTCAGGTTAGGGTTGGGTCAAAATAAATAACGGATCAAAATGGTTTGGGTTAAAACGGGTCACAAGTCAATGAAAACAGATCTTAATCTGCCCATCATGGGTCACAGGTCAACCCGCGGGTTGACCCAACTAAAATTTTTTTTTTCTCTATAATTTGTACCTATTATCATTCAAAGAAAATTATTCAAAAGATTTAAAAAAGAAATTCACATCTTATAAAAATAATTTTTTTCATTAATTTAATATATACATATTTATAATTTCTCATAATCACATTTTTTTATTTTCCTTCAAAGAACAACGCTAATCAAATTCAAAAACATTACACTTATAGATCTCAATAGCCAAAAAAAAAAAAAAAACAGTAGTAGCATAACAACCAAATAACACAAACCCCATTCGAACATATTTGTTTTAGTCATTACTTTCAAAGAATAATTAATTGAATGCATCTAAATAAGCAAAGGAGAAAATCAAGTAATATTTTTACTTGGAATGGAAATAAAACTGAAAAATATAAATAAGTAAATAACTTACCTTGAAGTTTTTAGAGAGAAAAATTGGTGACAAAAAGAGCAATTGCCAGACTCATAGGAGAAAAAAAAAATGGATGAGTGAACGCAATAGTGACTTGATAAGACTAAGATCTAACTCTGAAATAATGTTAAAGACTAAAGAAGAAAAGTAGAGTCAAAATTTGAAAGTCAAAGGCTGTATAGATTATGGAAGTTGAAAAATATAAGAAGAGTTAGAAGTTTGAAGAGTTAGAGTCTTTCAGAGTATTAGGCTAAGCAAGAATAGAAAAGGTCGGGAGATGAGTTATGAAATGAAATGAGATTATTTTTACTTGTAGAAGATGATGAGTCAAAAGATTTAATTAGTTAATTAGGGAATATAAGTCAATTATTAGATGTTTAGATGAGATTAAGAATTGAAAAATAAAATAAATAAATAATAAATTAAAAAATTTTAAATTTTTTAATGAATAAATAAATTAAATATATTAACTTGATGGGTCAACTCGTTATTGATCCGTGACCCATCAAGCTCTCTCAACAAATCATTAACGAATCACAGATCATAAATATATAAAATTCTAACCCGTTTTAAATAGGCGATGGACGGGTTAACGGTTGAGTAAAAGATTGCCCAGATCTACAGCCAACTATGTCCACAGTTACGTCTGCTGTGAAAATGGCTGCTCCGGTTCAAACAGCCAAACCAGTGCCGGCGGCGAAATCTTCACTGGTCTTCCTTCCGTTCACCACCATGTCAAAGAGAACCGCGCTGATTAGTTCATCATCAATACTGTGTGGCAAACCGGAGGTCCCGTTCAGGAACCCACAAGAAATCCCGTCGGTGCCCAGTTATCACCCTCCTTCTGTGCCGCCAGAGGTCCCAAGGCCGACTAGAACCCCAGAGATGGATCCAGCAGGGGATAGTGCAACGGGAATTTCCCCTGGTCCTCCAGCTCCGGCCGCGACATGATCCCGACATTCCAGTCCCACCAAGGCCACAGCAGCCACCTGACGTGATTCCTCCTCGACCACCTGATCTAGATCCTCCCCCAAGCACACCCCCAGACGTCGTGCCGCCGGGTATTGAGCCACCGATTGGTCCGGCGATTGTTTTTTAGAAAGTGGAAAGTTGTCCATTCGTACGTGTTATCGTTTGGGCCTCCGAGAATGTTGCTATTTCGAGCTGGAACTTCTCTTTTCCGCCCCCCCATAGCACTCAGGCCCAAACTTCTTCGGCTTTATGGCCCAAACTCTAATTGGGCTTTCTGTATCGACCCATTTGCAACTAACAAAAATGGAAGCGTATTTTCATGAGCAATAACGGTTACAATGTCATGTATTATAATATTATTAAATTAATGTGATGTATAATTAAATGAAGAAATAGAAGGAATTGAATTTATTATTATTTTTTATTTCTTTAAAATCTAATTTAAGTTTTTATATCAATTATGTATTTAATCAGTAATATTATAAATTTTAATTTATTTTTTAATTAAATTATTTAATTAAATAAAAATATTATTCTACACTCAACTCCATTTTTTATTTATTGATCCAAACTAAATTAATATTTATTTTTTCTTCTCTTTAAAATCTTTCCGCATCATTTTTTTCACTTTCCCTAATTAATTTTTATCCAAACATAAACCTTTAGAAAAACTTAACTCCAAATTAGTAAAGCATAGTTTTTTTCTTCTTTTCTTTTCATTACACATTGTTATATGGTTGATTCAAACATGAAGAAATGGATTACTTAATAAGAGTACTTTAAGAGGACAAAATAATAGAATCCCAACCTGTACGTCTAGCTTAACTTTGTCTCTGCATTTGTCCAATACAGCCTAACAATTAAGTTATCTTCCCTTTGCAGCCGCAAACCTCAAATGCAGTGCTGTGAAGCAGCTCACTTTTATTGATCTGTGAAAATGTCTATACCTTCCATTTCCATATAATTCAGAAGGTTTTGCCCTTCCATAGAAATTTGAAACGCCATCATGGCCATTTTTGTGTTTTAATTTTTATCTTAGGTTGCATGCATGCTATTGATTACATTCTATACTTCTATTCATGCTTATGCAAGCAACTAAAAACTTATATATAAAGCCTTTGTTACACCTCTAATTTGCCCTAACTATATATAAAAATTGAAATTCAGGTTCATGAAAACCATACAGTTTATTTATTTAATTTTTTTTAAAAGAAATTAAAATTTCATTGTTTTAAAGAATAAAATTACAAATTTTAGATTTTAATAGTGTTATTATTGTAAATAAATAAATCAAAGAAATCCCAATCCGACCGTAATAATACCTTAGCCCCTATTACTTGTAGGAGTCGAAGCCCGTATCTGTCAGTATATAAGAAAACATAAGCTACACCGTCTCATTCGATACATTCATCACTCTTTCAACCCTACTTACCCAAAACGCAAACCCTTTTCCACCTGATCTCATTGCTTTCTTGATTTTCTTCATCGATCGATATGGCATTCACGATTTCCAGTTTTCCAGATTTGCCTCCCGGTGTCCGATTCTTTCCGACCGATGCCGAACTCATGGTACATCTCCGGCACCAGGTTATCGAAGGAAACTATCATCATCGCTTCATCTCTGTCTATGACGTTTACGGGCAAGCACCATGGAACCTTCCGTGGGATCGTTCCAACAACAGATACTTTCATGGCATTGAGCGCTTCTTCTTTGTCCAGAGGAAGCCCCTCTCTGGAAAGGACAGCGGGATGAGGCCCAAACGCACGGTTGATTCGGGCGAAGGGTGGTGGCACGCCAACACTGAAGATAAGCCGATTATGGACGATGGAGGAAGTGGGGCCACCGTCGGTTATGTTAAGTCTCTAACTTTCTTTGTCAAAGATGAAGAGAAGCGGAAACAGCAGGCAGGGAGGGGTAATCGGAAGCAAGAAGGAACCAAGACGGATTGGATTATGCATGAGTACGTATTGGATAAAAAGAACGTTAAAGAATGGGTTCTTTGCAGGATTCGGTACAACGGCAAGCAGCCTTTGGTCATGCCGTCTGATGCTTCCACTTCCACTATTCATCCCCCACCACAGATGTCATCGCAGTTCTGCGGAGGACCTGATCCGCAGCTGCGGCCATTGAAGAGACAAAGGAGTGGTGTATCCGTCCAAGAAGCTCATCATCAGCTGGAATCATGTGCTCCGTTGTTGTTCAACAAGGATATTATTCAAGAAACAGGAGCCGGGGAGACTGGTAGTATGGGATTTGAATGGTCATCAGAACGTGTACATGAAGGAGTAGTTGAAGAAACCCTGGCGAAGGACTTGGTGGAGATGCGTGGTTCTTTACAGCAACAGCCAGCGGAGAAGCCCTGGGAAGAATGCGATGGAGAATATGCGAAAGAATTGGAAAATATGTTGGAGATGAATTCAGAGACCTTGGTGGTGATGAGTCCGTTACAGCAACAGCAGCGGGAACAAACCTTTGAAGAATATGCGGAACAATTGGAAAGTATTTTAGAGTTAAATTCAGAGGGCTTGGTGATGAATCCAGTACAGCAACAGCAGCCAATATTGGAAGACTGTGATATGTATTTTGCTGCTGTAGTAGAGGCAGCGATGGAGAAGAAGTCAGAGGCAGTGACACAGCCTCAACCGGTGCAGCAACCTCAAGAAGAAAAATCACAGGCAGAGGGAGATTGGCAGGGTTGGGTCGAAGGTGAATTATTGATGAATTTTGACTTTAGTCAGCTGCCACCACTGGATGACAGGGAATGGAAAGAACTTTGCAATTGGAAGTGAAGCTTGGAATGGACGGTTTGTGGGAGGAGGAGGTGTGCCAATTAATGTATGACAAACAATTAGGTAGCTTGGATGGAAAAACAGAATCGCAAAGGTCCCCTGGATTTGCTTGTGGTTAGTTACATCTGTAGATTGAAGCAGATATTTGGGAGCTGTTATAGAAGGTGTGTGAGACAGATTAATGTAGAGGCCGAATCCTGTATTTAGACTGTGATGCATAGTGAAATATTTCCGACCCTGTCCGTGGATGTAGGTCGTCACATTGGCGACTGAACCACGTAAAAACTTGTGTGTCTGCTTTCTTTCTTTTCTCTTATCTTTATTTTTAGTTTTCTGTTTCTTTATCTCTGCAATTGTTGGTGATAGTGACCTTCTTGACTGCTCTTAACATGAAACATGACGTTAAAGTTTGCAATCAAATTGAATCATGACAATTAAGTTTGCATGCTGATCAATAAATCTACATGGCTTGGTAACTCTGTTTAGCTTATTTAAAGTTAATTAGTTATACATTTCATGAACTGAAAATGTGGTTTCAGAGTGCAATTTGTTGGCAGTTACTACCTTTGTTTTTATTGAATAAACTTGAGCTATTGTTGTTGACTGAATAAGTAAACTTGAAGTTACGTTAGGCTAGGGCAGAAAACGAAGAGTGTGGTGATTCACTACTATACTCTGATGCATGGTGGAATGTTGTCAATTTGACAGTTGAACAGTACAAGTAGAGCTCCGCTGCTCAGTGCTTACACTCTTATTTCTTTTGAAATGAAAGTAAACTTAGTAACCAAACAAAGCATTAATTCCACAAGTCCAACAGACACACCCATATGTATATCATAAAAGTATCTTACTATTTAAACTATGAAATATTAATTATTAAGTAATGATAGATTCTAACAATAAAAATTTATCTTTTCATTTAATAATTGATATATTAAATTTTAAACTGTAAAACATTAGATTTCATATATATATATGTATGATTTAAGTAGATCATAACTTATATTAAATACTCTAGGAAAATACAGAGAATATATAGGAGTCAAATAAGTGGATTCCCTTAGGCAAGAAAAATACTAAATGTACCATAAAAAAGAGAACAGAGACATAATGATCGAAACGGTGTCGTTCTGAATTCAAAGACATGAAATTATGAGAGTGAGCAGTACGCTGTCGTTTACAAATGCTCCAATCCCTCAATTATTGGCTGTAGCTACTCACCACCTAGCGCCGTAATGTGTGGTTCCGATAAGATTCCAGGAACCGCAAGCCTCTCAATTCCTGCCTTTTTCATGTTGTAATCTTTCCATTTCCCCAAGTTTCCATCTTTTGATTACAGTGGTAAGCCATATTTCTTCTTTCTTTCTTTCTTTCTTTCCATCTATCTTTCTTCAGAACATCATCTGAACTTTGAACTGATGCTTCACTTGGGTTTGCTAACACCCTCCTATATCCACATGCTATAATTGATAACTTTTGTAATTGCACGCATTGAGAGATAGCAGAGGGAGTTATTTACTTTTTTCGTTTCTGGGTTTTCATCATTGTAGAATTTCATGGCAATTTCAATGCTTAGTGGAGCTGAGAGCCTTAAGCTTGTTAATGGAAGAGCCCCAGTTGGGTTAGGATTTGTGGGTTCAAATTTCCAGTTTAGTTGCTTGCCTAAGAAGGGTCTATTGTCTTTTAGCAAGAATCAGAAGGCTAGAATCTTAGCACCCAGATGCAGTACATCAGCAAGGCCTGCTTCTCAGCCTAGGTTCATTCAACACAAGCAAGAGGCTTTTTGGTTCTATAGGTTTTTATCCATAGTATATGATCATATCATAAACCCGGGTCACTGGACTGAGGATATGCGTGATGAGGCGCTTGAGCCTGCTGATCTCTATGATAGGAACATGACAGTGGTAGATGTAGGAGGTGGAACTGGATTTACCACACTTGGTATAGTGAAGCATGTGGATGCCAAGAATGTTACAATTCTTGATCAGTCACCTCATCAACTTGCCAAGGCCAAGCAGAAGGAGCCATTGAAAGAATGCAAGATAATTGAAGGTGATGCTGAGGACCTTCCTTTTCCCACTGATTATGCTGATAGATATATTTCTGCAGGAAGGTAATATGATTATATCTCCGTGTGTTTTCCCATATTAAACTTTTGATTAATATTGTGGTTTGAGACTGACTCTTTAGTTTTCAATAATGCAAAGGTGTTCTTCTGTAGATAAAAAGTGTATGTAGTATTTTTTATCCAATTGGTTTTCTTTTGGGTTTGAAACTCTTTTACAATGAAATTCATTATGTGCTTTTCTTAATGGGAATTCTATTTTGTATGTGTGTGTGTGTGTGTGTATGATTTAATTGATGAAAATCATATTATTTTTTGTCTGGTGAATATTGTGAAAGCTTATAAATCATATTATTTTTTGTCTGGTGAATATTGTGAAAGCTTATGGATGCTAAAGCATGTTTTTCTTAACTTATTTTTAGTTTTTGAGGTAACAGAGCTGTAGTTTTATACATAGTGGAAAATATCCACTAAAGTTTCTAGTAGGATTTGTCTCCATATGGACTCTGATTCAGTGGTTATACTCAGCATTGAGTACTGGCCAGACCCACAGCGTGGCATCAAGGAAGCATACAGGGTGCTGAAAATAGGAGGGAAAGCATGTGTCATTGGCCCTGTGCACCCAACGTTTTGGTTGTCCCGTTTTTTTGCAGATATGTGGATGCTCTTCCCAAAGGAGGAAGAATACATAGAATGGTTTCAAGAAGCTGGATTTAAAGATGTGAAACTGAAAAGGATTGGTCCAAAATGGTACCGTGGTGTCCGCCGGCATGGCTTGATAATGGGTTGTTCAGTGACTGGTGTGAAACCCTTAACAGGAGACTCTCCCCTGAAGGTAACATACCCTGTCATCTCAGAAGTCCTACATATCTTCAAATGAAATTCTTGTGGATTGATTTGCTGCCACCTAGAATTATTGTAAATTGGATAAACAAGTAATTTTATTGCTAACTTGTGAATGTCCATTAATTCTTCTTGATGATCAATCTCAGTATTGCTCTTTTTGTATTACTTGATGGGTCTCCATCTTTTTGCAGCTTGGTCCAAAGGCAGAGGACGTAAAGAAGCCTGTAAACCCATTTATGTTCCTTCTGCGCCTCATTCTTGGGTCTATAGCAGGAGCTTACTTTGTGCTTGTTCCCATTTACATGTGGATCAAAGATCAAATTGTTCCAAAGGGTCAGCCTATATGAAACAAGGAAAGAACTGCAAGATGCTTCTGCTTTGTCTATCTCGCTGGTTACATGCTTTTGTTTCTCTGTACAAGGTTTTACAATAATTTGATGCACATCCCATTTGGGTGGACAATATGGTTGAAGCTGTCTAGACGTGTAGCAATTCCGCGGCTTTAATAGAGTTGTTAAGAGTAGCGTGTAGTGCATGCCTCTTAACTGCAGTCTTTTTGGTTGTAGAAAGTTTGATTATTTGTCAACTTTATCCGAACGGATGTTTTCTATCACCATCAATGTATGATTTCTCCTGTTCTGTTAACGTAATCGTTGTTTGCAGCGGTTGAATATGTTAAATCCCTGTTTACAGGGCTTGAACCCTGGTAATCTCTCGAAGCCCCTGACGCAATGATGATTGGCATAATTTAACACTCCTGTACATTTTGAAATGGGGTTTGTCCTGGAAGTCAAATTCCATGTTAATTTCCAGCATTTTGAACTGAATGGCTACAAGGTGGAGTGGACGGCGGACCACAACAGACTTTTTTTTCTTTTTTTTGTGTCTTACACGTCTGAAATGTTCCACCTTCTAGATTAGATTAGAATTACATCCTAAATTTGTTAAATTTTGGTGGAAGCAGAGTATTCCAATCGAACAGTGTGAGTTTGTACCATTCAGTCCGACTCACAACCGTAAACCGCGTCGACAGCCAAGCAGACTTGTGTTTTTCCATGCCTTTGGATGTCTTCATTTTACTGACTAGACTCACCGCGTCCTACGTCTCTTTTACTTTCGTTTATTATTTTTCTTAAAGAAGGAAGGTTTGTTTTTTATTTTGTTGATTAAATTTTAATTTTTT